ACTCTTACAAGAACCTCTCTGTTTAGCAGACTGTTAGAAGCATAAATCAAGTTTGTTTTCATTTCAAAGCTCTCTGAAATGGGCCTACCATTCATACATATATGGTCACAGCAAAGATAGTGTCCGTTTAGAATTATACAGAACCTTTCTCCGTAAATAAAGCCAAGCCCATTTGGGAGGTCTTTATCTTAGATTCAGCTGTATTGACTGAGCTGCGTTGAAGAAACTCTTAAAGCCAGAAGCCACTGTGTGAAAGCCCTCTTAAAGTGTCCATTTGGAAGGGATTTGAAAATGTGGTTTCTAGCGGCTTAGTTAACACAACACATCCCAAATGCAGAAGCTGTCCCAAACAGGGCCTAAATCTTAATTTTCAGCTATCTATGGCTTACACATCTCAGTGCTTTATATATGTTCATTTGGAGTAGATAAGCCCAATGGATGTTTAAAGAAATTAATGGATCTATTCATCAACAACTTATATTGTAAATTTCAATATTTCATCATTAAAACCAGTAGAATAACACATTCCCATAAAAATAAGTTTTATGGCTACAAGTGCCGTTCATCTGCTCCATCTGCTACCAGTGCCGGTGGTGGCATATGGTTGATTTAACTATGATCATTTGCTAAGGCCATGAAAGAAGTGATGTTTTCTCCTCCGCGAATGTCTCCTACATACCCTTGACATCACAAAAGGAACATAATCAACCTGCACAAAAGGAGGATATATAACATAAATATGGCTACCAATCTCTACAGTACAGTCAGCCAACCAACCTTCAAAATTCTTCCACTAATTACTTGATTATTTCAAGGGTGAACGTGAAACTACAAATTTATATATAAAAGAAAGGAGCTACCTGAGAGTTATTACGAACGCAATAATCCTGAAGCAGAGCATTGTCATCAATGAGCTTCTGGTTTTGGTGAGAAAGACAAAAATTTGCCCAAACATGCCTCCTGCAAATCACAATGTTCAGATTATTAGAATACAGACAATGTAGAAAGAAAGAAAAGGTGATTTTGATAAGGTCGTAGTATCATCTTAAAAATGCAACAGGTTTTGGAATCCCAACTTGAAATCCCTGAGGAATACAAGTGTGGTGTGGCATACTTCGGTTCCAGCGCAATATGATACAAGAGGGATTGAACTGGGGTAGAGTACCATGAAATGTGCCGATGTCCCATCTGCAACTGCTCCATCTCATTTGTTTTCTTTGTGATAGCTAACTTCAGATTCTTAACAGTAGCACAATTCAGCACAGCCACATCTTCATCAAGAAGGCTCAACTAGTTAGTAAACCAAAGCCAACAAAGCTAAATGCATTCTGCTACTCTTTAATTAGTTAGGTCAGTCAGATCACTAGAAATCAACAGAATTTACTCAAAAAGGGGAAAAAAAAAAGAAACTATTCCAAGAATAAGACATGAATTGTGAACTGTCCTTATATAGGACCCTTCTTCTTCGTCTTTTCCTATCGTAAGTTATGTGTTCGCTAAAATGTGGCAACCACGAGAACGAAGCAGTGAAATTAATCAGGAGAAAAGGAAGGTGGGTACCGAAGGTTGTGCCATTCATTTTAAGGACGGAAATTCTCATAGCGCTACCCATTTCCAAGTTGACAAGGGTGTCCACACATAGGAAAGTGTGGGTTTCTTCGGGGCGCCAGTGAGAATGGGATCATCTAAGAGGGCTGAGAGCGTTGACTGTAATCTTGCCTTCTTTACGTTGCTACTATTGTATCCTACTCCCGTTTCTTCACCCTTGAGGCAGGACTCCATCTCTTTTCCTTTAAATCGTGATGATGATGACGAAGAAAAGAGAAGGAAGAAGATAAACAAGAAGAATGACTCCTGCAATTCAACACCATTGATTTTTAGCTATTTGACAGCTTTAGAAGGATTACAAATACAAATATATGCAGTTCAAAACCTTGTATTTTGTATTATTTTATATGTATTTATACTATACATATATTTGTATTTGTACTCATTTCAAACTGAGCTCAAAGGTTTTATTTTATCGGTAGATATACTTTTTACAAAAATAAGAAAGCACAAGCAAGCAAATCTAGAAAACTGGAAGTAGATATCTATTGTCTTAGCCTTAGCAGAGCTTAGACAGAGACTGATCTTTATTTTCTAGTGCTCACGACTTAGGTGGGTGTGGGTGTGGGTCACCCCATCCTTCTATTATATTTGTCCATGTACAATTTTAACTTGCTGGCGGTCGTCGTCTCGTCTTTCCCAGATTTGGAAAATGATGACGGGAACTCTACAGTTGGCTCTAGCATTCTCAGCGGACCTCCTTCACCACCACCATCATCGCCGACCATTGTTCCTGCCATGGTGTGCCTTGAGTAAGAAGGGCCATCGATTCTTTACCTCTCTCGCCGCCGCAGCTGGAGACTCCGCTGCCGCTAATCGGTTAATACGAAAGTTCGTGGCCTCGTCATCGAAGTCTGATGCCCTCAACGCACTCTCTCACCTCATCTCCTCCAACACCACTCATTTCCATCTCTCCTCTCTGGTACTCCCTGTAAGTAATCTGTAGAACTCTATAATTCTTCCTCTTTGTTTTCTTAAGATTACATTTGCCTACATATCGAGTTCCGAGCCCTTTTGATTTGTGCGTTTAATAATCTCAGATGTATAGAAGGATCGCCGAAACCCCTTGGTTCAACTGGAACCCGAAATTGGTCGCGAGTGTCATTGCTTATCTGGATAAGCAAGGACAGCCTGAAGAAGCCGAAGCCCTGATTTCCGAATCCGTCCAGAAACTAGGGTTTCAGGAGCGAGATGTCGCTCTCTTCTACTGCGACCTGATTGATTCCTACTCTAAACAGAGATCAAGGATTGGTGTTTTCGAGTCTTACGCTCGTCTGAAGCAACTTTTCTCGGACTCCAGTTCTTCTTTGAGTCGACGTGCTTACGAAACGATCATTTGTAGCCTTTGTTCGGTGGATCTACCTCGTGACGCGGAGAATATGGTCGAAGAAATGACAATTTCAGGATTCAAACCCTCTGCTTTTGAGTTCAGGTCTCTGGTGAGTGGATACGGTAGATTAGGATTATTCACGGATATGCGTAGAGTTCTTCGGAAAATGGAGGATGCTGGGTACTGTTTGGACACAATTTGTTCGAATATGGTTCTTTCCTCGTTTGGAGCCCATAGCGAGCTATCGGAGATGGCTTCATGGCTTCGAAAAATGAAGGATTCTAACATTTCCTTTTCGATACGGACGTACAATTCTGTCATGAATTCATGCCCAACAATCACGTCCTTGCTCAAAGACTTGAAGTTTGTCCCCCTTTCGATGGAGGATCTGAAAGGAAGGCTACAGAAAGATGAAACCTTGTTGGTTGAACAACTAATCGGATCGTCTGTACTGATGGATGCCTTGAAATGGTGCCCTTCGGAGGGGAAGTTGGATTTACACGGAATGCACTTGGCTACTGCTTATTTGATCATGCTACAGTGGGTACAAGTTCTAAGATCAAGGTTTAGTGCGGGAAATTGGGTAATTCCGACGGAGTTTAGGGTGATATGTGGATCGGGAAAGCACAGCAGTGTGAGAGGGGAATCGCCAGTGAAAGCCCTGGTTAAACAAATGATGGTTCGGATGAAAAGTCCGATGAAAATTGATCGGAACAATGTGGGATGCTTTGTTGGCAGAGGAAAGGCCGTGAGGGACTGGCTGTGTTGTATTCACTATGATCTCTGATTTCAAATTCTTTTTCAGGTTCAAGAGTTTTTGTATAGCCTATTAGCCTGTTGATAACATTCACAGAAACTAAAGGTGGCTCCACTTACCAAATCGAATAGACTCAGTGCCGCAGTGGGTAGTTGGTATTGCAGCCTTAGAGAGATTGCTGTTCAAAAAAGCTTCAGAGTTCATACTAAAGATGTTTTTCGATCTTGTTTATAAGTTTTCTTCCGATTAGCCAATAAGAAATGAATGTCCATTTGTTCACCACAAATATGAACAACTTTCTTCCAAAATACCACTCACCTTAAGATTGATGAACAAGTATCGATACCTAGTAATTCATTGTAGAATAGAAATGAGGAGATGGACTATTTCCTTCAGAATTTCTGTAATGACCAAATTACATAATTACATTGAAAATCCAATCCATTTCCAACAATCCTAGCTCCGTCCTACCCACAAGCTTGGAAATGGAGAGAAACAAACTTGTCGAAAACAGAAGAAAAAGCACAAAGCAAATTGACAACACAACTGAAAAAGTAAATCTCAGGTACTTAACTAGGTAGGAGCCAAAAAGCAAAAAGAAAAAGAAAGATGCTGTGGAAACGATCTAGCAGTCCCCATGTCGGTGAAAGGCCACTGTACCCATTATTTTCAAGAATCAAGAGGTCGGTGGAGGTGGAGAGTTCTGCAGCTCAACCACTTTTTTCCATGATTCCCGACTGGAGATCTCATCCCACCATCTCCCAACGTTTTTCCTTGAGTTAAACAGGTGCCCGCTATCTGTGTCATTCACCAAGTAATGAGTGTTGGGCAGGTGAGAAAGATCGGCTAGCGTAAACTCATCACCGGCGAGGAACCGACTTTCCCCGAGCCTCCGCTCGTACACGTCAAGTATCTTCCCCAGCTTCTCCTTATTCTGTCTGATCAAGCCCTCGTCCTGCTTGAGCTTCATTCTTGGTGCGAACGCAAGCTGAAACACAAGAACGGAGCTGGGTGGGTTGAAGCTCTGCCCTTCTGCCTCCAACCACTGATCTATCGAAGCCTTCTCTAGTGGCCCTGTCCCAAACAAACTCTTGTTCCCCTGCTTCGCGTACTTCTCCGAAATGTATCGGCATATCGCTCTAGACTCTTCACACGGACAAGAAGAAGTTAAGCTTATTTGGTAGAAAAATTAAAGTCATATTCAAAAGAAAAGAAAATTAAAAGGGAGGAACATATATCAGTTACCAAACAGAGAAATATCTTCGTCTTGAAAGGCTGGGACTTGTCCGAAGGGCTGTTGCAGAGAAGAGGGTTCAGAATGGAACTGGGATAAAAAAAGTGTACAGTTAAGAGTCTGATAATTGGTATGGTCGTATCATTTTCATACCTGAAGCTTGAGAAAATCGGGTTTTTTGTGTTCGCCCTTAGACATGTTGACGCTGATGAGCTGAAACTGAACTTGTTTTTCGAGGAGACATGCTAACACCCTTGAAACGGCAGTGGACATGGGCGGTCCATATACTTTCACAGGCGTCGCCATTACAGGTTTTACAGCGGCCGTCGGTAGCTTCCCCTCTTTCTTATGTATCGGATCGGTGTATGTATTTCCAGCCTTCCAGGCTAAAAGAAGAGATGGGACTTTATCCTTAAAGATCAGAGAGGGTGGTCGCTTGAGCCACGTAACTTGCCATCAGTCTTAAATCCGAACGATCAGAAGCATTTAATAGGTGGTCTCACTCTCACCTTCAAGATTGATTAAAGATGGAGTAGAGTAAAGTTGGACTTACCGCTTACGTGATCTCACTCACTTGATGATGTGGGAGCTGAGGCCGGTCCAGTCGTACAAAGTGGAACTCATGCAAATACAAAAACAAAGGGGTGTATGGCTCACATCATTTTTTTCTTTTTGCTAGAAAGAAACGAAAAGTGCTTTCACTCATTCCAGTACAAGTGCTTTTACTTACGCTTTAGCGTAGGGCTAAAACATGAATCATGGCCTTCGATCTAACGTCATCTCATTTAATTCAAAGAGGAGAGGTGGGGCCATGTAGCAGAGATGGTTTACATTTTGGCTAAGGCCAAATCGTATAGGCAATTGCATTCAACCAGCTCGATAAAGAGACAGATTCAATATCACTGTAAAAAGGGTAAATGCTGAAACCTACCCTCAAATTTCTGCTGGTTGTTGAAACTTTTCTTGAGGTTTGTTAATAGATCCGTTCTGTTGAAACTTTTCTTGAGTTTTGTTGATAGATCCATTCTGTTAGAATCCTCGTACAGTTAATTTTGATTAAAATGTTTATTTTTTAAAGCTTTCTGTACATATGAATCATTACCCAAAACCTTCTATTTTTTTTATAAAATTGAGTTATTTTCCAAAATTGCCTTTCATATCAATTGCTCAACAACTTTAAATTCTTTTTTTTTTCATTTTAATTTTATAAAATTTATATTATTTTTTTTTATAGAAACCAGCTTCAATAGTAATTGCATAGCTATTTTGGATATTTTCATGTCTCTTTTTAAATGATTTTAACATAGAGGGTTTACTTGCAAATGTGTCATAAAGTTTAGGAAAGGTGATTGCAATTAACAAATTTTAGAAGAGGTTTTAGCAATGATTCAAAACTTCAGGGGAGGTTTCAAAAATTTACCCTTGTACAAATTATGAAACAACAGAACAAGTGAATGGTTGTAATTCAGGTTGTGAACCAATATGACTAATATCTTGGGATGACCAAATTAATTTGATTGGTTTATATCAAGGTTTTAAAAACCAACCCGAAATTGAAACCGTTCTAACCATCGGTTTTTGAGTGAATGATTCGATCACTTGGAACAGTGTATTGCTAACCAAATCCGCAGTTTTTGACCAATGACCAGATTGAGGGTGAAATGGAACTAATTGCCTGAACGGTCTGACCGTCCAAGTTAATGGAGGTTCAAAAACACGGGTTTATATATCCTATAAGTAAAGCGAACTTGGCTAAAGGGCTAATGGTGGATGGATGGATTTATGTTAACCCATTTATGGATAATTGGGCTGAATGTGCATGTATTTTGTAGTAACCAGACCAGACTTCACTTTGTAAGTTATAGCTGGCTTAGTCCACCATCCCAATAAAATCGGGCCGCTTCACTAATTTTAGAAGAGTAACAAATTTCACATCATACACGATAATGGAAGCATGACTAATGGCACATGGCAATGGATCAACAACCTTTTTTTTCTATAATATTCATTCACTAATCAATAACTGACCGGAAAAAGAGGGAGATACTCAAGTCAAACATACATCAGCGATATCATTGTACAAGGCCCGACTATCCCATCTTCGCACTCTTCGCTAACCAAGAAATGCGCCGACGATGTTCTTTCCATCAAGGTGACGCCAAACTAATTTCTCAAAACCATTCATTCACTCCGTTTCCAAACCAGACTTTTGCACACATATCAGTATATCACCTTGACCTGTCATAGCTTTAACCAGGTTTAAACAGTCTTATTCCACACACCATTGAAAGATGAAGATTTGCAAACTCAGGAGAGCCGACGTAAGCCTTCTGAGAAGAGCGCTGATCTTGGAAGTTGGAACACAAGAGTCTGTCAACACATCAACAAAAGGTCTCCCTATTCTTTATATATCACAAAGCAATAACCCGCACGACCAGAAGATAAGAAGGCACCATCAATTCTCATTTTATCAAAGTCTGGTTGAAACCTGCATGCTTGATATGGGTAGGGCTGCAACAATCTGAGGACGTCTGACCATTAACAGACCAAAAAGGTAAATGCTACCACTACTCTTAAGGCAAGGAGAAAGGGAAACGGCAGACCAAGGGATAAAGTGGGAAAAGAAATAAAATCTGCTGGGAAGGTAGGTAAAGAAATCAAAATCACCCTCCTCGCCATCTCATGCTCTTCTGAAGCTTGCACTCATCTACACCTAAACTCCAAGGGATCTCTAAAATGTTAATTTCTTGCATCATCAGTTAGAACAAGCAGTCCAATTAGAGGGAAATCGGGTAGACGTCAAAGCAGGCATGTTACGGACATTTATGTCAAGTGGCAACATGCGATATTCAATGTCAAGCTCTCTGAAAACTTTAACCATCTCCTCAACCAAGAGGGCTCTCCTCGACCACCTTTCCCCCATGTCCTGGTGGTTCATGCGATGTGTCAACCAAATTGCTATCTTCAGCCTGTTCATGTCCTCTACATCCTTCACCACAACCATTGGTCCAGGATACCAGTGGTCCTTCTTGTTCTCAATGTATCTGCAACAGCACCCATATGTACAAAATTCTGTTAGGGACTCAGATCTCATTCAGCAACCCCCACCCCCCAAATGAACAAATGAAACAAGTACATCTAAAAGAGATCCAACTCCTAAGAATCTTCTATGAAAATGATCCACCTAACATGGTTTATCTGTCAGATTGAATCAAAACCCAAGGCAACAGAAATGTTGGCATGAATCCCCCAAGATTCTGATCTAATCCAACTATTGACATCATTTTCATGCTTAAATACCTGTTTTTTGAAGTATTCTCATGCAACATCTCCATAGGGAAAATTGGGTCCCATTCAATCCAGAAGAGTGAACCCACTGACCCGCAATCCAGAGGAAAAAACAGGTGAGCCTCTGGGTTGGTTATTAAAACACAGTCTAAAACCAGTATTTTTTTCCTCCTTTGGGCATGGAGGTTGGAGGAACTAATCAGGTTCCGGGAAAAGGAAAAGCAAGACAAAAACAAAGACAAAAGTGAGGAGATGAGACATACTCTGTTATTCTTTGTTTCATGATTGCAATTTTTTCTGCTGGAGTGGAAATGTGGATACAGAACTCAACAGCATCACCCATATCAGGACTGCGGTAATAATTGCTGATAGGCTTAGTAGAAAGAACACTGTTTGGATATATGATCTTCTGGTTGTCGTACCTCAGAAATACGGTAGTTAAGATATTCATCTCTTCCACAATCATCTAACACAGAAGAAGTTAGATCCTTAAAATCTTGAACTGTTCACATGTATAGACATGCACATCATAAACAGCATGCATATGATTAGCATAATAAGCTAAGCAAACCCTATGTTACCTAGATATGACAAGAACACAGATAGACTAGGTGTTCGATACAATTTTTACACAAAAAATTAAAGAATGTGGAAGTCAAAAGATGGAAAAATTATTTTGAAAATTATTAAATGAACAACAAGGAGAGGGTGCTAATGGAGGAGAATCTAATAATACTAGTAGTGTTAAAAATAACATGTACCTTTGTTGAATTGAACATACTAAAGTAAAAGAGGCATTAAGTAAGATAAAGAAGGGAAGGGCGTTAGGACCTGATAGGATTCCAATAAAAGTGTGGAAGGTATAAGAGGAGAAGTATACTTGTTATAGGTAACTAAGCTATTTAATAAGATGGTGAATGAAAAGAAGATGCCTGATGATTGGAGAAATAGCTATATGGTGTCTATATTTAAAAACAAAGTGATATACAAAGTTGTAATAACAATTAGGGGATTAAATTCATGAGCCACACTATGAAACTTTGAAAGAGAATAATTGAAGCTATATTTCTTTTGAGACGATGGATAAAAAAAAAGTTCAAAGAGAAAAAGAAAGACCTAATATCATGTTCATTGATTTAAAAAAGGCATATGATAGAATTCCTAGAGAGACAATATGGAGGGTCTTAGAAAAGAAAGGGGTTCAAAATAGGTATATAGCCCTAATTAAGGATATGTACGAGGGGGCAATAACCAATGTTGGATATTAGTTGGAGAAGCTACTCCAGATGTTATAATTACAATGGGTCTTCACCAAGGTTCAGCACTTAGTCCTTATCTATTTGCCCTGATCATAGATGAAGTGACTAAACATATTTAGGAGGAAGTGCTAAACCTTGGTTAATTTTGCATTCTAATCATAAAATTAAGCTTATGGACAAATGCCTTGGAAACAAGTTCTAAAAATAATAGGACTAAAACAGGGTATATGATATGTAAATTTAATAATAATAATAATAAGAGTGCAAATCAAGATACACTTAGAATTGAAGATCAAGAGATAACTCAATATGACCATTTCCAATGCCTTGGTTCAACAATTCAAAACAAGGGAGAGATTGAGGATGTCACTCAAAGAATTAGAGCAAGATGGGCAAAATGAAGGGGTGCATCTAAACTTTTATGTGATAGGTGAATAGCACTTAAATTAAAAAGAAAATTCTGTAAAACAGTTGCAAGGCCGATTATGTTGTATGGAGCAAAATGGTGGGCAATCAAGAAACAACATATCAAGAAAATGATTGTGGTAGAACTGCGAATGCTAAGATGGATGAGTGAAAAAAACTAGAAAGGGTAAGATCAGGAATGAAGTCACCTATAGGAACCTAGAGTAGCTCCAATAGGTAAGAAAACGAGAAAAAGTAGATTAAGATCGTTTGCCGCATGCACAGAAGACCATCAACAGCACTAGTTAGAAGAAACAATTTTTTTTACATGTTAATGGGGCTAGTAGGGTTAAGGGTAGACCAAACAGGACATGGGTAGAAGTAGTAAGAAATGATTTAAACACCAACAGTTTAAAAGTGGATATGGCTTTAAATAAAACAGATTAGTGAAACAAGATACATGTAGTTGACCCTATATAGTTAGGATAAGGCATGGATGATGATGATGGTGTGCATGCACACAAGTGTGCGTCTCTATTAGTGTTTTACCTGAACTCCATCCACTTCGCATCGATCGCCCACATCAAACGGGTGCATTGCAAATAAGAATATTATTGATTCAAATACTGTCTTGCATGTGTTCCCAAAGATAAATACCACCACGAGGACTTGAGAACTAATGGCAACTAAGAGATGGGTCGTTGCAATTCCCAATATGATAAGCCAGATGATCAATATGATGATGCCAACAATGATATTCAGCATCTGATGGAGTTTGTTCACAGCTGTTTTTGTATCATTTAGTGTTAAGGCAAGCGCTCTCCTTTCTCTAAATGCATTAACCTGAAATTTGAGAGATGTAAGACAATAGATATCACCATCATATCAGTTCCTGTTTATCACGAGTACAACAAAAACTGCACAACAGAAAACCATTTGCACTGGTTTCCACTCAACAAGGGCTATTGCCCAATGTTGGCCCCTGATATCCAGGGTCTTGGGAGGGGTGGATTGAATATGGACCCAACCTTTTTTGCACAAGGTGACTACTCGGAGACTTAAACTAGCATTTTCACACTTCTCAGACAGGTTTCTCCTGCTTTCCACTCATCAAGTATCAGAGAACTTAGTAATTTTCTTCTATCCTGTGGAACATCCAGTTTTAGCCAACTTTCTGGATGCTCACAAGACAGAAGATGCAGCTAACAGATTTCTCTGTTGGAGGATTAAGTTTTTAAATTTTCAAAATTTCTACTTGTCTTAGACTAAGACATCCTTTCTTCTATTCTTTATCCCAAACCATGTTGCTTGTTAAACATAGATGCATAGCTAAGAATTGAAACAATGTAGTGTTTTGCATCTTATTGTATTCAAGGAAACGTTTTGCAATTGTTCAATAATACAATGCTCACTTATACCGTCATATTAAGACAAACCACTTTCCTAAGCTTTTGAGGTTGGTAAACTTACCATTTAACATTAAACTAATCAGACATCTACCAAAAATGGGTTGCACAACTCCAAAGAGAAAAAAACTAATTGCAGCATGAATCCCTTGATTACAATGGATATGTGTTGGAATACCAGAAAACTACCTTTTCTTTTTCACTTTCTTTGTTAGAGCCTGCAATCCAGAGAATGCTTCATTGAATGTATGGTCATGATATAGTCCGGATCTGCCTACCCATCCCTTTGAATAGCAGAAAGCCATGGATTGCATGCTCTAAACACATGCTCTTCACTACAGGAAGGAGAAAAGCAGACAAGAAAATAACCTACCACCCAGTTCTTGAGAGCTGACTTGCTGATTCTTTTACTTTCAGTGGCTCCTTCAAATAGACTCATGGTCTTTGAAGCTTCATCTTCTCTCAAGAAACGCATCAGATCCTCGAGGTAGATGTACCTGTGGCAAGAAAAAGGCCAAAGCATTGACATTGGGAAAAGAACAGAAATAAGATGAACAGATTACTTGAAAGAGAACTTGAAGAATGTGAAAGGTTTCACCCACAGTTGTGCTGAGGTATTTTTAAAAGTTATATGAAATATTTATTTATTTGCAAAGGTACTCGACAAGTCCCTCTTAGGAGAAATGGTTATGGGCTTTCAAAATAAAGGTTATTAGTTCAACTCATATCAAGTAACAGATTCACTGAATAGACAATTAATTGCAATCTCAAAGTTTTTTGTGCATTTCTTTTACCGTGATTAGAAGGAACTGCAAGTTTTTTTTTTCAATTTTTGATACATAAGTAATTACAGCGCTTAACCTCACAGAACTAGAGTGTAGGCTTTGCATCCTGGGGACAGAAATTTCTTGAGAAACTTGCAACCAATAAAACAACATTCTAATAGTGATGAATTTACTGTCTTAAAGACAATACATTAAGTGGCATACCTTGCACTTAATTATTCTATGCAGCTTGTTTGAATTCTTCTCCAACTGGTTGAACTAAATGGTGCTCCATGGATTGGTCTTGACATAAAAGAGTTCACACAAACACCCTTATTATCAACTCTAATAAAGATCTCTACCAGTATTACCCTTAGGAACAGGACAACTCAAGTGCTGCTCATGCTTCATGACCTCCCGCTCCTGTAACATTTTCTACCTTGACTTTTTTTTTTTATAATTAACTTTGCTACCAAGATTCCATGAACAAACCCTTTTTAAATCACTGATACAATAATTATTCTTTTTCTTTATGTTTCTAATTAGCAACTAGGGTAACCAACTGAATGAAATTCAATTGAATTGAGAGGTAAAGCAGAACTAGGGTAATTTACATATTGGACTTAAGATTTTAGAATCTAAACTATCTATTTAATAAGTTATTTTGAATTTCCATGTTAAAAAAGGAATGAAACATAAAACTTTGTTTTGAGGCATATATAAAAAGGTACTTTTCAAGTTATTCCTCATGCTTGTGCACCGGCAGTTGGGTTATGGTTCACAAGGTACTTTTCAAACCTTGGAGTAAGATGTATGTTAAGTTAAAAGGCTGAAATTGCATAATAGAAATGGTTTTGAGAGACATTTAGAAACCAATTGGGGGCAAGGACATAACTAGATACACTAACGGTAACAGATATGGAATTTACACTAAAATTTGAAGTATCTGATACAATAAGGAACCCTTGTTGGGTATCATTAGAAATATAGGCATATGAATTCAACACTGTGCTGAACAATTTGACAGTTACCATGTAAGCATCCTAGAGCACAATTAGACCAGACATGGTAGAAGTAATAAGAAATAATTTAAGCGCCAATAATTTAACAATGGATATGGCATTAAACACAACGGATTGGCCAAACAGGATTCATGTAGGATGTAACCAACCCTATATATGTATGTATATAGACACCATCAGCATTCAAGCAAGGAGAAAAGAGAGTATGAACAAGAAAGGAAATATTTACATACTTGGAACCACCCATGGCCACGTTGTTAAAGATTTTCTTTGCCGCAGCTTTTGCCTCACATTCACTTCGGATCTGCATTGTTGACTCGTCAGTGTGAGCCGAACCTAATATCGTTTCATCCAGTGTGGACAGGACACCATGCCGGACTATATTCATCAACCTTTTCATGTTCCAAGCAGATATGTTCTTCTGGTTCAGCTTGTGCAAGTGATCAATTGTGATCCCCTCATCCTGCTGTTTAGAAACTGTGCCAGACTTCCCAGCTTTAGGACTCCTCTGGAGACCACCGCTTCCAATCACCTTCCCACTTCTGGTCGTCGGCAAGACAGTTGCCCGGAGGTCAGGAGGCATAGTAGCACCTGCATTTTGAAGGTTTCGAACCTCGGCCATGACCTTCTCGTTTTCTTCCTGTGCATGCTGGATTTCAATCAAAGGGGGGCCAGATAGGGTCTCAATCACATATTGATTGAACAGAGACTCCTGAATCCGGTCAAAGTATGTACTAACATGAAACGACGATGCAAGAACCTTAACAAGGAGTGTCTTGACAAGCCATATTAATGTAGCGACTAAGAAACAGAACAAGATCTTGGTTACAAAAGGCAGAATACTAGTATTCGTCTCCCTCGCAACCTTCTTGTCCAACATAGCATGCCAAGCGATCAGAACTAAACCCAACCAAATACAGTTCTTAACAGCTTTCCTCACTCCATAGACAAAATACAGAACCCTTTTCCTCAAAAGGAAATTACGCTCAATGAAGAAGACTACAAGCCGAATTCCCCAACCAGAGACCAAGCGTCCGCATATCACAACCAGAACAAGGACCTCCCATTTCCATAGATGGAGCCTCCACACCAGCTTCTTTGACAGTGCAGGGATCGAAAGACTGCAAACAAGCGTTGCCAGGATCAAAATCAGACTGACCCATTCAAGAAGCGTTAAGGCGCTGATGTTACCCTTCTTATATTCCTCTGGAACGTCCTCCTGCGAAAATGAGTCGTCTTCATCCTCGTTATTAATCCTCCCCAACATCCCAGATTTCACCTGGCCGGACTTTGCCACCCTCCCGGATTTTCGGTCTTGGTCCTCCGGTGGGTCCATGAGCCTCGACTTGGTTTTAGCTTTCAACAGGCTCGAATTCCTCCGATATGAAGCACTGGAAGTACATCTCAGAACCTCACCTCTGCCCCTACCACTACTATTAGCACTACCACCGCCTATATTTGACGATCCGCCATTATGTTGTTTTATTTGGTTGTGTTCGTCTTCCTCGAACGAGCTGGTGTAGCGTCGTCGGACGAGTTTTTGGGCAGTCTCAACCCAAGTGGGAGAAGAACCTTGAAAGGATGCCTTGAGCTCCCGGGAGGAAGTCTGCCGATGATTCATCGGACTCTCCGTCATAGGTGGCAAGTTACGATCGTAGCGGAGCTCGTCCTTATCCAACGCTATCTCCCCCGACGCCGTCTGTTCATGCAAGAACTGCACAATCAGCTTGGGTAGTGGACCATCGGGACCTTGCGGTCGCTGGTGAAAAGAGAAACCATCAGCGTCAGCAGCACCGCTTTGGCCCGCATTTTCACCATCGGACTCCCTGCTGTTGGCATTTTTACCATTGTGACGATTTGAGTTGTTGTTGCCGTCGATGTTGAGGACCACTTCTCTGTGGTTGTCCGAAGAGTCAGATTTCGACATGCGCTCGTCGAGGTCGAGGAGGATGGGCTGCAATTCGTGATTTTGTTCCTGAGCTTCGGCGGAGATTCTACAAGTATATTTGTGGGAACCTTGGGCCGACTTGAATGATTTTCTAAGCGATTCCATGAAAAGAGGAAGAAGGAGCTGCGTGTTTTCTCGAATAAAAGAATACGCAGGGTTGCAACCACTTGAATGTTTAAACGTCGACGTGGGTGGTGATCTGTCACCACTCACCAGTAGTAAGTGAGGACTTCTCCCTCGAAAAAAAACAAATTATTGGGGTTGTTTTTGAGAGGGAGAGACGGGGTTTCTTCAAAATTCAAAGTTGGAAAGTAGAACTGAAACCTGGAAGGCTGAACTGAAAGCACGATAAAAAGCTTATAATATAAATTGCAGAGGAAGAGACAGAGAGAGGGAGAGAGAGCGCAGAATGTAAAAAAGCAACAACAGAGAACAGGTGGCCAAAATATATAGACTGGTGTTTGAGTCATCACCGACCATGACTCCATGAGCATGAGTTATTGAGTTGAGTGCATGACCATAACCAAAAGAACCAAAACAAACAAAAAAACAAAGAACACAGTAGTAGAACAGCTTCAGCACTCAGCAGGCAGCAGGCCTCGACGATGAAAATATAAATGACCTGGTATTTTCTGTTTAATTGCGATAACTGCCCTTCCTCACTCTTCAGAGTCAGATACGCGTGGGATGTCATTGTTCTGTTCTTCGGTGGAAAGCAAACATTATCAACGGCTATGATGAAAAGGGGGATCAACGATGCAGATGCAGCAACATCGCCTCCACTCCAACGATTCATCATCATTCAAGAAGAAGGAAAGAAAACTACAGAGTATTATATATTCAACACAAAAGAAGAAGAGAATCGATCGTAACCGTATCCGTATACTGGCTCTCGATATTTTGTAGGAATCGAGGGCAGGGCATGGGTGTAATTTCAGTTGAGAGAATCGGTGACTGACAGACAGTGAGCGAGTGCAGTGTGGGGACCGCTGTGTCACGTGTTACGACTTACGTGAGAGACTCTCGCTCCTGCGCACAGTGGTGGTGGCATCACCTTCACCGCGTACCACAGAGAGGCACAGACAGCTCCACTCACTCCACCAGAATCGACGGAGAGAGATAGCCAGATAGGCGGGGCGCACTTCCAACACGGTCGGTGTGCATTAGAGAGAGAAAGAGAGCTTCTTGCATCTTGATCTTGACATTGACATATACCTAGTACATCATATATGCGGCAAAACGAGACGAATATGAAGTTAATAATCATTGGGAAAAGGAAAGATCAACCGAAAATTAAGATTTAGGAAATCAAGCACAAATCAATAAGCAAATGGCCATGCGATGAATGTTAGTCTTTTATATATATAACTAGCGGGGACGTGTGTGATGTACGAAAAAATATGGAAGATTGAATAATTTTAATTATTATTAATTAATTGATAAATTAAAGGTAAATTCCTTAAATTATTTTTATGGTTGAGTTAATTGATTGTATCCTTAGTGTTTAAAAATTGACTAACACTACTTATTTTTAATAATTGACTAATTCTATTCTTATCGTTAAGTTCTGTTAATATTTCATCAAAACTCAACACATGACATGTATTTTTCTTAAAAACTCAATTTTACCCTCCACCTCCGACCTTCCTCTTTTTCTCTTTTTCTTTTTCCCCTCTTTCTCTCCTTTACCCTAAACAAGGGAGATCCACCGTTTGGTCTAGTTAAAACACATTTGAAAAAAAAGGAGAATAGGGGAGATTCATCGTTGCTCTCCACCGCTTGGTCCGGTTAAAATACATTGGAAAAAAAGGAGAACAAAGGAGATTCACTATTGCTCTCCACCGCTTGGCCCGCCTAAAACACACAAGAAAAAAAAGAGAATAGGGGAGATCCGTTGCTACTCTCCGCCGCTTGGTTCGGCTAAAACACACAGGAAAAAAAAAAGGAGAACAGGGGAGATCCTCCATTGCACTATGCCGGTGGTTGCCGTTGTTGCCACTATTGCGGTTCCAACATTTATGACAAAGAGAATGAAAGGGAGGGAGAGATCCAAGTAAGGAACACAAATACGAGTATCTCTCATATTCTCAAATTTGTAAGGAACCTAGATCTAAGATTTGAGAGATACTCAAATATGAGATCCAGTCATCATCCGTCATTCCGACAATTATGGCGAAGAGAATGAGAGGGAGAGGGAGAGGGAGAGGGAGAGATCCGAGTAAAAAACCTAGATCTGAGATGATGGAGGAAGATTTGGCCCGACCTCTTGGCCACCCAACACGTGGACGCAACCGAGGGTGACCTGGCAGGAGCAACAGCTCGGCACGGCAGTGCGCTCAAGGCGCAAGCTCCGAGAGGAGGAACCAGCGGTCCAAGCTCCTCAAAAGGAGCCCGAATTCTCCCTTTGACCTCGAGCCTTACGAAGAGCGCAAAGGGAAACAACCCGAACTGGCCCACCCCAGGGCAGTTTGGGCCACACTTCTATCCGAACTCAAGACCACCTCGCACACCACTCCAACACTTCGTCTCCAGGCCGCCGAACTGAACAACCGTACCTGACACCAAAGGAGTTTGTATCCTGAGGTGGCGCACCTGACTGACTTAGGATCTGACGCTTAACAACCGCACTTCAACGGCCACCTGCCACCGCCACCTCCAGTTACAGAGACGGTTCCGACAAAGAGAGCAGTGGCGGTTGTCTGCCCCAGCAGAAGTGATGACACCCGAGCTGGCAAAAGTGTAGAGATAATGATACCCGACCTGACAGGAGCTTGGGAGTGAGTGTGCGAAGTGGTTATAAAAGGCCCTCTTCCCCCCAAGAAGAAAGGTACGTGATAACTTTGCGCCATCTGGTTTTTTATCTTGCCTTTGAGAAAATACTAACTTGAGCTTCGGAGCACTCTCACCGGGTTCCTCCCTGGAGACTACTCGCTTTCTTCCCCGTTTCAGGCACCTTTTGCTCCAGTCAAAGGCAAGATCGTTGACAGCTAGGACCGACTGGATTGCGCTCCATCATGAGAGATACCCAGATCTGAGATCCAATCACCATCCATCGTTCCGGTAGTTCTGGCGAAGAGAATGAAAGGGAGAGATCCCAGTAAGAAACCCATATCTAAGATCTAAGAGATACTCAAATCTGAGATCCAGTCATCATCTGTCATTCCGGCAGTTCTGGCGAAGAGAATGAAAGGGAGAGGGAGAGATCCTAGTAAGGAACCCATATCTGAGTATCTCTCAAATCTGCAAGGAACCCAGATTCGGTCATCATCCGCCATTCCGGTAGTTCTGGCAAAGAGAATGAGAGGGAGGGGAAGAGATTTAAGTAATCTATAGTGGAGGGTAAAATAGTCTTTTTCATATCTCTATTGACGCACGTTAATGATTAAAAAGGATTAGTCAATTGTCAGAAATAGTAGGGATAGTGTTAGTCAATTTTCAAACAGAAAATGTACACTTGGTCAATTAGCTAAACCATAAGGGTAGTTTAAGAAATTTACCCATAAATTAATAATCAAAATTTGTTGTTAATTAACTAAAAGCATTTAAAGTTATTGTTAATATTTAAATTTTTAATAATTGTATTTTTCATTTAATGATGATTACAAAAAAATAATTATTGTTAATTTAATATGAACAAAAATGTATTAATAAATTTAATTTTATTAATCATTTGTAGTAATTTTAATAACTATTATAATTTTCATTATTTTTAAATGAAATTTTGATTAACTTTAAATAAATACAAATAATTACAAAAGCTAATATTTTTATTAATTTCACTAATAATTAACAATTATATAGGAATGGCAACGGGGTGGGGTGAATTCAGGGCGGGGTTCAGGGCAAGGCACCCATTACTCATCAAGAATGGGGAACCCTTGAATTTTTCCTACCCGGTCCCTAGTGTTGGGTGTGTTCAAGGCAAGGCACCCACTCCTTGCCAACCCAATATTCAATTTGATGACAAAAATGATAAAAAAGATATAGTGAGTAACAACCACATAGCAAACTTCCAAAAGTACACTAAATTGTTTTTAATTTTCAAAAATGTAATTTTATGAAAATTTTGGAAAATTTATCACATTTGTGTAATTTGGAAAATTTATTCCAATTTATTTTTGAATTGTTATTAAATAATTTATTTTCTTTTTAAATGGTTTACTTACAAAATTACACTAATTTATCTTATATTTTGTAATATAAACTAATCAACAATTTCCTTTTTTCAATGTTATGCTAACTTATCTTAATAATTTGTATAATTTTTGGTTCAAATTATTGTTTTCGCTTTCCCATACTCATTTATCTTTAAAAATTTTCAATAATTTACAATTAAAATTACATATTTTTTCAATAGCTTTCCAAAATTTATCAAATGTAATAAATTTTCCTAAAATTTCCAAAATATTCCAATAATTTTCAATACTCATTTATCAAATGTAATATATTTAATTTCCAGAATGTTATTTTATGAAAGTGTAGTCTTATGAAAATTTTTGAAAAATTTATTATGTTTGTGTAATTATGGAGCTTTATTAAAAATTATTTTAAATTGTTATTAAATATTTATTTTTATTAGGTAAATTACACTAATTTATCTTTTATTATCCAATATGAATTAATTAATAATTTCATATTCCAACATTATAATATTTTATCCCCCCACCTGCATTCGGTTATTAACTATAATAATAGCAATAACTAAAATTTTATACGCTTTTATAACTGTTAAATATAATTCTCAATTTTATAGAAATTAGTTAAAGAGTTTTTAATTTCCATAAAATGTTGTTAATTAAAATGAATATAATAGTATTTACCCAAAATACTTTAAAAAGTCATGATGAGTTAGTTAATAACAATATTTATTATTTTTTGGTAATTTACTAGCCATATTTATTAACTTTTGGTAATAACACTATTTAATACTCATTGAATATGGATTGGTTTAAATATTAACCGTACTTAACTATTTATTAATTAATATGAATATTTTAAATGAGAGAGAGAGTTGATATAGATTAGGGGGAGAGATTTTTGGAATTGATTGGAGAGTGGAGTAACATGATAAGTTCCTAATGGCTTAGAGAAAATACCTAGAGAGATTTTAGGAATATTTTTATGTAGTTGAATTGGGAATGATGGAATTAGGGCTACAAGTTGGGCCGGGTTGAGGCCAACCCTAGCCCAACCCTACCTTCTTCTCATCCCTTAAAACCTCATAGAATTTCTCAATTTTAGATCTTAACTCAACTTGCACTACATATATTAGTCCTATGTTTCATTAGTATTTGTTTGTTGATGTTTTTTTTTTCTTTTTTTTTGTTCTTTTGGTACAAAATTCAGAAAAACAAGTGTTAGAGATGACTATAGTTTATTATGAGTTATGACTTAAGATAGATCTTTCTTGGGCGGCAAACAACATAGAGAAGATGAAGAATAAAATTTTCAAAAAATATAAAATAATGTTTTTTAAGTTAAGGTTTTAGTCTTTCTTATTAGGACTAAGTGAAGTGATTATCTTAAAATAAATACATGATACTATGTGGCGGGAGCTATACAAATATCATGCATCTAAACAAATCAA